CGCGAGGCCAGCCCAATCTTCAGGACTGTTGAACTCCCGCTCTGCGGACCTGTACCCATGCCTGAGAAAGGCAGGCCCTGCTCACAGGCAGAGGACATCCGCGTGAGGACAGTCACTTCTCGTGTTTCTAACAGACCTCACAGGGAGCGGGCTCGCCAACCAAGGGAGTGCGACTGTTCCAGGAACCACGTGGCCCTATGCGTGTAAGCATGTCCTTACACGCGCGAGTGTGCGTATGAGCTGCATGTTTAAGATTAGTGTACTTTACATATGTTACAGCGTCTTAACTCAGTTATAAAGAAAAACACGAGGCAAGTCCAATATGGACCTTAAATGTTAGCTTTGAAAGTAGGGTGGGCACCGGCAGGTGGCCGTGGTGGTTAGGGGTGCTGGCCTCCCACATGACTGACGACAGTTTGAGTCCTGGGCCTGACAACTTTCTTTCTCACTTTCTCCCTCTCTCTCTCTGTCCCTCTCTGATCAAATTAAAGTTCTATAAAATAATTCTTTTTTAAAAAGTGAGTAACACGGAGTATGTTCAGTATGCTTCCATTTAAAAGTGGTGGGGATGCAGTAATTTGCTTATTTGTGCAAATGGTTGAAAAACAAATATTCGATGAAGTCAGCTAACAGTGACTGCCTTTGTTAAGTACCTAGCCCAGAGAGTTTTCCACTGTAGTTTTCTGTGCATCGTTAGGTGTTTTGTTGAAACTGTGATTCTACTTCCTGTAGAAATAGTCCATAAACAAAGCTTACTACCTGTGCTACTGAGATTGAGCCACATGGCTCTCCGCATCCTTCCCAGGTGTGGGGCAGGTCGGCAGACGGATTTCAGGCTGCTGGGTGGTGATCAGTTCCGAGTGAGGAGACGTGGGTTGAGAATACTCAGGTCAACGGGAGCTTTCCAAGAGCTCAGGTGGAAGATCTGGAGGAGCGCGAACCCGGGCCCTGAAGGCGGGGGCTCGCAATGTCAGAAGCGAAGCTCTCAGGTAGGCTTGGAGCAAGCGTGTAAAGGGACTATGCACGTGCCGTGCACACACGCTTGTGTGCATTGCTCCCAGCCCCCTCCGCCCGGTGCCCCAGAGGTGAGCACCAACCGCCATGCTCGCCGCCAAGGGCTCGTCTCAGCGTCAGAGGGAACAGGAGCAACCGTGGGCCCCGCGGCGCTATGCTGCTCCTTATTTTAAGCACGGCTAAGCCAACCTCAGCACGAGGAGCGTGGTCTCACCAGGCAGCTGAGCACAGCCCGGTTCCCAGTCGGAGCTGCGGGAAGACAAGGGCCGCTTCCTGGACCGTCCCTCTCAGTATGCTGACCCCAGGGACTAAGTGCCACGCTAAAGTAATGGCAGTGTGTGGGCTACCCCATGTTAAATGACAGGGGCTGGCATCTGAGACCGTGAAGCAAGGCCCTGAATGACAAGGAGCCAGACCTGCTGCGACGACTCCTCTGTCCCTGCGTTCTCACAGCCCTCACGGCCTCCCCGTGCTCCTCACCATGACCTGACTGCACTGTGAACCTGCAGAGGCCCGGGAAGCGAGTCGCCCATAGTCACAACGTGACACATCAGGGCTCGAATGCGGCAAGCCTGAGCCTGCAGCCCGAGTGAACTCGCCACACGAGGATGAGCCTGTGGTGCCCTGAGCGAACAGGCCGGCATCCCGCGGCCGGTCACACGGGCTGTGTAGGCAGCGGGAGCACCCTAGGTCTATTTCAATGTCTATTTTAAATACGTTTCTCTGGTTAGAGTGGAAAGTAGATCAGAGGGTAAAAAATGGGAGCAGGAAGAACGGTGAGGAGCTGGGACTGCCTGGGTGAAGACCGCGTGGTTTCCACCAGGGTGGCGGTGAGCGAGGGGGATCAGGTTATAGCCGGGTGCCGGTTGCCAGGGTCTGCAGACAGACACGGGATGCAGGGTATGGGAAAGGGAAAGGAACCGAAGATGACCCTTGTGAACTGTTAGCTTGGGAGGACGCGCAGCTGGAGGGGCTGTTTGCAGGGCACCAGGAAGTTCTCAGGGGCAGACAACCGAGTCGGGAAACTGGGTATTCACGCGGAGAAGGGTGAAGGTGGGCCTTCACCTTACATCTTCTACAGAAATGACCTATTCAATGGGTCAAAGACCCAGCCTACGAGCTAAAAACCATAAAAATCCCAGAAGACAGTGGGAAAACTTCATGACACTGGATTTGGCAATAATTTCTTAGATATTTAAAAAGCACAGACAAAAAAGAAAAAAAAAACAGATAAAAACATTTGTATATCAAAGGCCATTATGAGAAGCATGAAACAGCTACTCACAGAATGGAAGGGAATGTTTGTAAATCACATATCAGGATTTAACATAAGGAATGTATTTTTAAAAGTCCAAAAATCTAACAGAGTATGTCCAACACCCCCAGTCACTAGGGAGATGCGTGTCAAAGCCACAGACAGATACCGCTTCACACCCATCAGGCCGTCTATGACCAGAAACACGGAAGCAAGTGCTGGGGAAGACGTGCTGGCGCTGGAGGCCGCGCACTGGCGGGAACGTGAAATAGCACAGTCGCGATGGAAACAGTACGGTGGCTCCTAAAAACTGTTAGGTGTAGGATTACTATCTGATCCAGCGCTCTTACATAATCAAAAGCAGTGACTCAAACAGGTGTGTGCACGCCTAACGCTCGCACCGGCATTACTCAAGACAGACAAAGGTGGGAGGAACCCACGTCTTCCAGCAGGTGACCCCGAGGTGGTGGGTACACACACGGCACGCGCTTCAGCCTTGAAAGCAAATCCCGACACATGCTCCAGCACGGATGAACCCTGGACGCTATGCTAAGTGAATAACCTAGACACAAAAGGGCAACTCTCGTTGTCTGATCCCACTTCTGAGAGGGACTGAGACTAGCTAAATTCAGAGACAGAAAGCAAAAAGAGGCTGCCAGGGATCTGCATGGAGGAGGGAGTGGAGCTAGTGTTTAATGGGTACAGTTTCCGTTTGAGATAAAGAACAAAAAGCTCCGGAGATGGGTGGTGGTGAGGGTTGCACAACATTGTGAATGTACTTTACGCCACTAGACTTCGGACACTGAAAAATGGTTAAAATGGTAAGTTTTATCTATGTTTCACCACAATAAAGAAAAAGAAACCATAAAACATCTCAGGGCGGCTCGGGTGCCTTGCAGACAGGTCAGGAAGAGCCTCCCGGTGTGCACATCTGTCTGCTCCTCGTGCCTCAGCAGGCACCTGAGCTGACCGACCCAGCATGGACCATTCCGTCTAAAGCATGCATGACGCTTCCAGACCTGCACATACAGAGCAGCAGCTCCTCAGGACTCTTCACGTGCATCGAATGTGAAGAATGTGCAGCATGGTAAACTCGGCCTGTGTTCTTTACTGCTAGAGCTGGGGCGAAGGGGGCAGGGGTGAGCCGTGCTGGTCTCTGGAGGGCAGGGTCATGGTGACGGGAAGGAGCTAGAGCCCTGGGGCTTGGCCTAAGCTAGCCAGTGGCTTCTGGGCGACGGCGCTGCGCAGAAAGCCCCCAGCACTTAACGAATTCCTCAGGATGAAAATACAGACACTTTGTTCTCCTTTAGTTCAGAGCAGCCAAAGAAAGGAAGGGGATTAACTGAAACTAAAAAGGAAAACAAATGTCTTCTCGTTCTAAAAACTTTCTGCTTACCCCCTTGTTCATATAGCCAAGTGATTCCTATTAGCACTTAGCTTATTGAGAAAAAGATCAGGCCAAAAGCTTCAAATAACAGAATTCTTTCTTAACCAACAATATTGGAAGTGCGTCCTAAAGCCCTGGAAGCTGAACGTTCTGTTAACTCGATTTCAGAATAAACAACTTCACTTAAGGAATGTGTCAAATGTATCATAAATAATCTACAGTCTGGAACACATCAATCAGTGTGACAGAATTTCCAAAAACACAAGTATTATTTAAGCCCTAAAAAAAAAAATTATTCTTACATAATTCAATAAAAAAAACATAAAGCAGAATTTAGTTTAAAAAATTCTCATTTTAACATATGCATCTTCATGATTCATCATGGAATTCTCAATTAAAAGATCATTTCAGCTACAACGATTTCCATGTTGTCACCGATTCAAACCGAACCAAAACAAAAAGAAAAACACTAAAAAGTCGCAAAGTGAACAGACCATAACTTTATTGGAGATTTACTCAGCTACAATTATTACAAAACAAAACAAAAGAAAACAACTAAAGGAAATTGTGACCCATAAGGTGCAGACTGCAACTTCCTGCAGCATGATCATTGTGTGAACGAACTGCACCGTCTTCCTTCAAAACAGCTGCAGCACGTGCTAGGTTTTATTGTCAGTCGAATTACAGGTGTTAGTCTCACTTGATTTTAGTCATTTTCCTTCACTCTATTTACAGCAGAAAAGCCAGAACTGTTCTTCCCGTTCACCTTTGCATTTTTGCTATGTAACCTGCTGCCGCAGTGAATTGAGTACATCTATAAAATTTGTCTGTGGTTGATGTCCAAGTAAAAATGGACTAGAAAAAAAGCCATGATTAAAATATATTTACAAGTTAGTTTTGAAAGATCATTATCACTGCTAGTGGAAGATGCAATGGTCTCAATGCAAATTCCCTAGTATTGCTACTGGCATTTCCAACAACTTTTTAAATCATTTTAATATTCTCGGTCTTAAACCTATCTGTAAAATTTTCATGTACAATATAAAATAAAGAAATTTATTTGGAAATAATTAAATTCCTGAAAACAATCAGTGGCTGGAAAAATAGACCTATTTAAGTGTAATCAAAATAACCACGTAGGTAATAAACATGACAAGAGTTTCTTCTCGCAGATAATGCAAACTGCTAACATAATTTCAGATGCAGCTAAACAAAGATATCAAGGTCTCAAATTTTGTCTAAAAGGATCAGCTACCTTAACTCGAGCAAGATCAGAAGTTGTCGATCAACTGGGCCTTAAGAGGGGACTGCGTAGGTCTGGGTCGCAACCACCTGCTGCGGTCGCCGCTGGTTTCAGGTTAAGGCCTGAAAGAGCTGCCTGCCAGGGGACGTGCACCACAGCCACACCAGCAGAACCAAAGGAGCCTCCAGTCTCTTGCTATTTAAGCAGAATATCTGAATAGCAAGCTGTTTACTAAGAAAGTAAAATATCGATGTATTTTAACAGAAAATTACAGGAGAGTTAGAGGTCATTCTAAATTTAATCACTTCACATGATGTAAAAGAAAAAAGAAATATAACAAACATTGAAAAACATAATTAAGAGTTCAGTTAACAAATCTTTGTCATACTTTCACAAACAGTAAAAATGCCACAGACAAAAATGACCTATTTAAGTTGTGCAAGTATATGACACATTGCAGGCATTATAACTCTTTTTCAAAGTCGGTAAATCCAAACAGCAGCAAGGCCAAACCATATTTTTTCCTCTCAGTTAAGCATATTTTCCTTGAAATGAGGTAAAGCATGGTACCAAGTGCAATGCTTCTCTGCGCTACATGAACAGAACAGGGGCAAGCTATTAGATTATAAATGCAGCATAGTTAGGACTGCAGAGAGTGTATGATAAAAGAAATAAACATTTACAGCGAAGGTTCATGCCAACCAACCCGCACGCAATCACCGTCAGGGATTTCTGCAGTTGCGTTTTCAAGACCCCGCCTCACCAGTCCTCTGCCTGTGTGCTCCGAGCACGGCCACACCCCACTGGTAGCTTCCCCGTCTCACAGTCTAGTCACAGGGACAAAAGGATGGCATACAGCTGTAAGGTAGGGCAACCCAGAATGACTCTTTTCTTAAATGACAGATGCAAAACAGTCCAACAAGCTAAACTGAGAAATTCTTACAGCATTAAAAGTCAGCAGCACAAAAGCATATATAACCATTTCAGATGTCAAATTATACTTTTTTTGTTTTTAACTTAATAACCAGGGGATCAGAGGATGCTTCAAACTGTGAGTCTAATTGAAATCACTTATTTTTCTCCAACAAAACAATGAAATAGTTCAAGTTTGCTGTTGATGAAACATTTTGAACAATAGCAGGAAATTAGAACCCCTGAGAATGCATGACCTAATCATATCCAAGTCTGAACATTTTAGTATTAACAAAAAATACTCTTCTTAAGGTTACAAAATATACTGAGGCATCTTTCTCCCACTGGGAATCGTAACTGTGAAACCATCTGATTTTGGTGCCAGGAGGCAAGAGAATTCTGTCACACTGGGATAAAAAAAAAAAGCTTCAGAAACAAAGCCCTAAGCTCCTGGCATCAGGTAGTTCATAAATTACCGAGAGATGTGTGATAGCACTTTATCACAATCACTCTCACAAATAAAACGCACTTCTGCCTGTTGCACACTTTCCGTCACGTAATTCAAGAATTGCTTGACCTTAACTTGCCACGATAACTTAACATGGAAGTTTTTTCCAAAAAATCCAAAAGATAGATATCTAGGATTCCAAACTGGAATATTTTTAAAAATGACTCATCTAAATTAATTTGCTCAAAAGTCATTTAATAATTTGGATCTCAATTTGAATGTAAGACTGGGACAGCAAACACCGCTGGGGAAGCGCGGCATTCCCTTCACTGTGGGTTCCTCCCAGAGCAGAGCCGGCAGTTTCCTGCGGGTGCACACACAAGAGGCGTGTCTCTGCAGCAGACGGTGCAGAGAAAGCAAGAAGTACAGTATTCAATTGTAATTTAAACATAAATGCAGCATTACATGAAGCATCAACTTCAGAAAGATGTGCTGGAAACGTGAGACACCTCTGCTCAGCTTTCTTACTTCAAGCATAATTAATGTGGAAATTGCAGCAAACCTCGACTGGTATGTTGGTGGGAGAGCAAGGCTGGCCCACAGCTCTTTAAAAGGTAAATTAAGAGGTATTATAGTTACAGTGCAAAAAAAAAAAAAAATTAACATTTCAAGCATAATACATAAACATAGCACCAAACAGGGCAGGAAACGCATGCAAAAGAAAAGAAGAACTGAGGTATTTAAGTGAAGAGTGCCTACAAGTCTAATTAAAGGAACTTAGGCAAATGCCTAAAAAGGTGGGTTTTTTTCTTTCCCAAAGATGGAAATAATGGTAGTTTATCTAAACTGATGACCTAAATCACAGATCAATCAAAATGACGGCAGTTTATTGCCAGCGTCGAACTCCATGGCATGGCCAGCACGGCTTTGGTAGGTGAGAGAGGCATGCAGCTCTGGAGTGCACAGCAGGGGTCTGTGTGAGACGACTAAGGGTAAAGGTGCTTTGAAGAAGAAATCAATCAATTATAAAATCTGCAGCATATTTTAAGTGTGATATGTCTAAGGTATATTTTGTTAGAGTAACAGCCTAGAGGGCAAAAGTATTTGCCATATACATTTCCATCAGTGGACTACCCTCATAGGAGGTTTTAGTAAAATTGGGCATTTAGCCAAAGATCATTTTTATTATCATGTTAAAAAAAATTCATAGACTACATATTCTGGTTTTTAAAATGTCTTCAGTACACATAAGACAAATCCTAATACACTCCAGTAATAAGTTAAGTTACAACTATACTAGTGAGTGTAAGTATCACACCGTCTCAACATCTAATGCATATTAAATAAAGGGAATGTAAAACAGTTTGTTCCAGAAAGATTGGAAATTAACAAATATCCATGAAGGTTTTACTTTTAAGGCAAGAACCTTTTTTTATGCAAGACTATATGGCATCAGAAAACTAAAATCTGATTCACCAACATGCCAGCCAATATTAAGTAAAAATCTGTCCTTACTATTAAGTGCAACAGCGACCGGGAACATAACCTTACACGCGATAACACGGAAGGAAAGACCACGCTGGCGCGCGGCTCCTCTCGCGAACCCGCCATCTACGCAGCTGCTCAGCGCTGGTGGGGCTGTAGTCACTGCACAGACTGCGGGCTGCCAGGAGGACTCTAGGTCAGCCGAGGGACTGCTGGAGGTTTCGGCTCCGTGGCCTTCTAACACTAGGCAGAACGGACAGAAATGAAACTAAAACGAGAAGAGTGAACAAATATTCTGAACACTGCTAAATGTCATCATTAAAGCACTCTTGTGATTTAAACAAAGCAGAAGGAAAGAAGACAAGATTGTGTTTGCGCAAAAAACTAAAACTACAATTAGTTCCAAAATTTTTATACATATGATAAATGTTTTATTCTGTTTTCTATCTTGTTACCAAACAAATTTCAAATTCTGCCTTCAATTCATTCCACTCAATGTCAACTTTAAATCATCCTTTCCAATTTAAATATTTTCCCCTTAATTTTGTTTTGCTTTGTTTTGTTTTGTTGCATTTTTTATTTTAAAAAGGGGTTTCAGCTGCTGGGAACCTGAGGTTGATTAGCTTTGAGGCTTCGCAGGGCTCTTCTTGCTGCTGCGGATTTGGCGATCCTGTAACTCCGGCCGACACCTTTAAACTTGCCCTTGCCCACCACCTCCACGGTGACTCTGACCTTCCCGTCGTATGTCCGTTCAGCTGGGCTGTGGAAAAGCCAAACAGTGTTGAGTTAGAAGTCAGAGAGGTGATTGCTGTTATCATCGCCGGCTGGCACTGGTGTGCACGCGTGGGCCCAGACGCCCTGGGGTGAGCCTACGCCGTGAGGGAGGGCATGGGCGACACCTCACACCACTGCAGACAGGGCTGCCGTCTCTCCTTTCATTCCACATTAATTAAAACAAAAAGAAAAGGGAGAGGTCCATCAAACTACAAATGGAATTGGATGACAGCATGGCCCTGTGAAGGTATTTTTTAGAACCATTAGTTTATGGAATCTTGGAGAACTTTCCCCTCCTGTTTTTAAGTAAGCTAATGTTTTCCACACATATTCGGCTTACCTAAATTTGGCAGTTTCTGGTTCCATTTCAAGCAATTCTCGTACAGGGGACCGGGGCACATTTGCAGAAAACTTTTCTGTGGACAGAAAGGAAGTACAATGTGAACAGAGCCTTGACATTTAAAAAGTACCGTTTTTATGGCTTTCAGGAGGGAGCCCACGTACCTATCAGCGGCCGCATCATAGGGTAGTACACCTGCCACACCATCTCCAGCGACATCCCGCTGTCCATATAAATGGCCCCAGCCAGAGACTCAAAAATATCCCCCATGGCCTTTGGAACTTCAATATCCTCTTCTTTCTCTTCATCTTCCTCAGATCTCCTCAACTATTATGAGAAAAAAGTGACTTATAAGCAGAAAGGCCATTTGTAAAGGTAGTTCTTAGATGTGTTTCTTGTCTTGTATGGAACTTCCACTATTTATTTAACAAGAGCAACGACACCCACCACTGATGGCAGGCCTACTACGCTATAGTAAGTATCCTGACCATTACCACCTTCTCTAAAAAAGAAAAAACATTCAAATTTCTCCAGAAAAAAAAAATCCCCCACTCCATTTAATATTTTATATCCAGCAAAGGGAAAAAATGACTTCTAAACTAAAAAAATAAATTTAACACAGAATTAGAAATAGTCAATAAGTGTATTAAAAAACTTTCTAATTCATGTGCAATCAAAGAATCGCACATTGAAACAATTCTATCCCCTAGCAGCCTGGCAGAGGGTCAACAGAATACTAATTAGTACAATGCTGGCAAAACATACACTGCTGGGGGAAGTAGAAATTGCTCCCTTTTTTGGCAGGGAAATTTCTATTTGGAAGATATTTCCCTCCAAGTTCTTTTTCATTAAACCACTTCATACATGCTTACCACAAACAGAACATCTGACCCACAATAAGTATTCAAACTAGTGAAAGAAACTTACAAATATATCAAAAGCCTTTTAAAAGTGTATGATCTTTAATGATTCTACTTCCAGGAATTTATCTTAAGGAGACATCTTGATATATGGGTAAATTTATCATGTCCATCCTTATTAAAAGTCCTAACTAAAAATAATTATCTAGCCGTAGGACCCTCTAAATAAATGAGCCGTGCACCAACTCGCACGTGGCTGCTGGAGATCATGACGCCGAGCGGTATGTGGAAAGTCACCCACGTTGCGGTATGTTGAAAGGACACTACGCACACTCATTTTATGTTATATATGTGTTTCTACGTTTTCTACATGTCACCAACAATACACTCCAAAACGTTCACCTACTGGTTATTTCTGAGTTAGCATAATTGGGCAACTTAAGTTTCTTTTTATTTATAGTCTTTTAGTTTTTAAAAATAAACACAAATTATTTGTAAAAAAGAAAGAAAAAGGGGAAAATACTAATTCCTGCATAAACTGTGTGCCAACACAAAGTCTGATATAATATAATGCTGGCTACTAGAAATATCGGATAATTACTGTATGTGTGTCATGAACATGAGCTAAAAGAAAACTGGAAAACTTATCGAGTTTAATACTCTCCTTGGGAAACCGAGGCCCAGAGAGGTAGAGACTTCCTTAAGATTAGTTAGGTTGGAAAGTCCACACCAGGACACTTCCACCCAGTGTCTGTACCTTCTACACATATGTTTCAAAGGGAAGGAAAAGAATGAACACAAATGAACAGAGCCACTCTTCTCCAGGAGAGAAATCTTCTCAAAAGAGAAATCTCACTTTATCTAACTCCTCAGTCCTTAAGCTTAAAGATTCCTGAAGAGTGAGCCCAGGAACCCCAGATGAATGTACAGGGAGGAAGCCCCGCTTTGCTCAGGCCCTGCTGTCAAGTGGACCGGGTGCCAGGGGGGTCCGAGCCCTGCCCACTGCCTCCCCTGCAGCACAAGCTGTGCAGCTCGCTGGCGCTGCCACTTTGCCTTGAGATGAGATTTCAAAACTGGGACCCCTCGCTTTTCCCAAACAAAGTCAAAGAAATGCACTACTTCCCAGCAATACTTGGGTGCAACTACAGAAAGGAAAGTTACAAATTAAAACAAGAGCAATTAAAACAGCTACCAGAGTTCAGGAGAAATTCCTTGACTTATTATAAAAAATGTACAAAAACAACAAAATCAAAGGCGTGAGCATGGGAGTAAGAAGTGGGAGTACTCCCACTAGTACTCCTGGGCCCACGGGGATGCAGATGGGTGTCACTGACGGATTACAGAGGACAGGTCTAAGCAATATCCTTCCTCACAAAAATTCAAAAAATAGCTCAGAATCACATAGGAATTAGCTCCACCACCAAAGAACCTTTGGCTGAACTTACAGTAGAAGTCTCCCAAATGCCAACGGTAAAAAATTTCAAAGTTTGGTTTTTAAATGAGATTTTCGCAGTTCAAGGAGATGCAGAATGAACAATTGAGATGCTTACCTGAAATATTAGCAAATATTTCTTATCTATTTAAAAAATACAGCCTGCGTGGGCTGCACGGAGGTCAGCCCTCCTCCAGGGCAGCAGGAGGAGGCGCGCTCCTTTGGCTGCCTACGCACTGACACCCAGATGCAGGGGCAGGGACAATGGCATAAGAAAACTGAATGCCCAGCTCCTTCTCTGCACCTGAGTGACCACAGGGTCCCCAGTATGGGCAGGCAGTATGCAAGGTTCCGGAGCCCCGGCCGCCAGCTGCCCCTTGGGCAATGGTGCAGTCTGACACTGAAGCCACCCAGACACTTGGCTGGACAGCCCCCAGCAGCGAAGGCTGCATAATCTGAAACGGCGCTAACCTCAGAATCCATCCCTTGCATTTCATTCTTCTCAAGCTGAAACTGCACGAAGTCATCGATGACGTGGAAGAGCTCGGGAGAGACAGCCTTGAAGTACTTGTGGTAGTCATACTTGACCGCCAGCGACGCGAAGATGGTGTTGTTAACCAGGGCGGAGCGCAGGTCAGTCAGGACCCCCGGGGAGTGCTGCCGCGGGTCTTCGTAAAGGTGCTTGGTTATGAGGTAGTCCAGAATCGCATCTCCCAGGAATTCTAAGCGCTGGTAACAATCTGAGGGGATCCAGAGTGGGACTGTAAGTTGGGGCGACATTTACCAGTTTCCACAGATGAAACCGATACACAGCTGACCCTTGAGCCTGCTTAAGACTTTCATTTGGGATCATGTTCATACACATTCCTCAGTGAGAAAATTATTTCAGATATCATACTAGAGCCTCTGGAAATCAAATTTCAATGGCAAACTAAACACGTTTCTTCTATATACATCAGAGGCATAAAGTCTTCAAGCTGCCAGCAAACTAATGCTCGTTAAGAAAAAAGCCACTTCCCAGGTGACATTATCACTGGCCCCTGGCCTCTTGGCACGGAGCTGGCTAGCCAGGCTCTGGACCTTCCTCTCCAGCCTCCTCGCACACCATCCCGGCAGTGAACCAGACCCGCGCACACCTGCCCCACGCGCCAGCTCCACAGCCATCGGTTCCAGTCTCCCTCCCACCTGCTGTGTGTCTAAGCAATGCCATTCCCTGCCACCCCTGCGTTATATCGTTATGTCTGTCACACGGGATGATAGGGA